ATTCAGGCCTTGTTTGAATACCCTCAGATATATCTCAATCCATATGTGTGGGGTGTATTGGAGTGAAATTTAAACTAATTTATATCTCAATCCATCTCAACACATGTGGATTGAGGTGAATACGAGAGTATCCAAACAAGGCCTCAGGATATTTTGCTCCTTCCATTTCCTAAATTTTGGACCACAGGATTTAACTTTAAAAGTGTGACGTTTTCTTCAACTGTTGGCCATTCTTCTCATTCATCTTGTCTCTCAGATTTTCTTCCTCGTTAACAACTCACAGAATAACCGTGAACCACTACAAAGTTTGAAATTTCAGATGTGCCATAAAAAAGTTGTGGCATCTAACGTGTCATTTTTTACCTTTCTCTAGATCTAATGAAAGAATTGAGATATCGCATAGAGAGAGAGAATAGATGTTCCTGAAATTATGGAACTTACAAAAACATTGTCTGACCAAGTCGGTAACACAAAGAACACAAATTAAGAGTGATGACGTCTATTTAATCGATTCTTCTTGTTACCAAGGTTTGTTGGAGATGTAATGAGATGATTCCTATCAAAACCTATAACCATAAACACAAAAACAAGTGGGTTGACGAAAATCGCCCAAAACTCAATTTACACAACAAGAACACGAGAATAAGTAAAGAAGACACATGGTTTGTTTGTCGAAGTTAGGATTCACCTTCATGAATCTTGTGCCTTCGTTGAGGAGTTCTTAAGGAAGCCAGATTTCTTTCAACCACTTACCCTCACCAAAGGACCCACAAAGGTCAACTTTGGTCTTCATTAATTGTGCAAAGACGAAATCAAAACCTTCACAAATTTCCCATGGCTCACTACAAACTTGGGAGCGCGCCAGCAAGGCGGCTATGAGATTTCATCTCCAAGAGTAACAAATTCTTCATGAATCACTTAACAAAGTCCACAAGTGCTTAAAGATGGGATTGCTCTCTTTTGCTTCTGATCACCCGATCTCTCAACCCCAAGTCTCTAGATTTTTCACAAATTGCACAATCCTTATGGAGGGGAAGGAGAGAGCAGCCACAAGAGAGGGGCTATAAATACCTAATACCCCAAAACTAGCCGTTGTTGTGTTGGTGCCTACCATACCGGATATCAAAAAACGTGGTTCAAAAGGCATCAAATCAACTCCCATAAAAAATATCTAGTAAATATCAGATCTCTGGTATGAGCTCTCGGTTTCCAACGGGTCCTTATAGGACCCAAGGTTTGGTTTTTACTGACATCCTATGTCCCTATGTGTCTCACACACTCACCTCGCTGCACTTGCAAGCTATCGCCATAGCATCCTATTTGACAGAAGAGGACGATAAGGAGAGAGAGGAGAGAATCGGGGCTAGCATGGGAAAGAGGGTTGGGAGAGAGGCGATGGCATGCACTTGGCACGGGGTGGTGTGAGGTTTAGTCGGGATGTTGCAGGCTCATGGGGCACTTGGCACCAACGTGAGCGAGATGTACTATCAAGCAGAAGAGGGAGGGAGATGTGCAACACGGTGCTAGTTGGATGGAAGAGAGGAGAGGGAGGCTGATGGGGCAGGCCTATCAACCTATGTGTCGATGAGAGAGTAGGTGACATCGAAGTGGCAAGCCGATAAATGACGAAAGTTTGCAACATGACCTCAGCCAAGGGCAAAGTTGTCTTTTCATCCATTAATTAGCTGCTGTTTTTCCAAATCTGATGATAGTGGTAGCCATGTTCTAAGAAAAGTTGGGGAAGACACTTTAGGTGCCACAACATTTTTTGTGGTAGATCAAGAATGTCAAACGTTTCTAGTTGCTCGTGGGAAAAAAAAGCTCCCCATCCTCCACCACACTTACTTGTTAGAGGTGGTGCCCCTATTCCAACTTCTAAGTTGTAATTCTCTTCAATGGCCATCATCCTCAAATTGCCAACATTGTCCCATTTTATTTTGCATGGCGATGGTCCATGCATGGCACACTTGCTATCCGCCTTGCACTTTTAACTTAAGCGCCACACTCTTTGCATCTTGTGAACAATTGTTTCATTTTCGGCACTTGTTTCATTTTCGTTTGTTGCAAGGATAGCACCGAACTGCTGCATCACTCATTTGCTTGCTTGCTTAAACGGCCATCTTCTCTCATCCCACTTAACCGAGAGCAATGAGTGCTTTTTCCCTTTTGATCTAAGCGTTCGTTTGGAAGAAGATGATGACGGCAACCTTCCCATCGATCTCAACGAGCCGTTTTGGAAGATGAGAACCACGGTAATGTGTCTTTCTCAGTTTGTTCTTTCTCATTTATAACAGGTCTTTCCTTTTCAACGAGGAAGATAACTTACCATTAGATGACTCTATTGACTTTGATCCCAAGTCCCAAGTTTTGAACCCAAACTCTTATGGGTATTTTGTTTGATGAATCATCTTATCTTATATGAAGTAGTGAGTCAAATGTTTATTTATGAATTTAATGAGATAGCTCCATCTTGCATGGTTTATACTAATTATATGCTCACTAATTTGTAAGTATGAGTTTTATTAAAATGATTGGTTTTTCCAACATTATATATTTCTCAAAGTAACAAATGTAAGGAGTCACGCTAAAAAAGCATGATACAACAATTGGCTCAAAAAAAATTAGATCATTCAGCAATCCCTCTCAAAACGAATTCACAAAGCCTATTGGTCATATTCCTCTCAAGCAAAGATAGAACCATATCAGCCTACAAAGATTTGAAAAGGGGTTTCATTAGGCGCCACTCTAGTAGCATCAAACCTTACCTCACTTGATGATATTGAAGTGGTGCATTGACATGATTGATCAAGGTTTGCTTGATGATCCAAAGTTCAAGGATTTGTTTGACTTTGTGTTTATTGATGAGAAGTGGTTCTCCTCACTCAAAAATCGAATCAACTTGCTACCCGAGGAAGATGAACCACACCGCTTTTGCAAGAACAAGAACTACATCCCTAGGATGATTCTTATGTGTATGTGCTCGGCCACGATTTAGAAATGGAGTAGTGTTTGATGGCAAAATAGGTTGCTTTCCACTATCAATTTTGAACAAGCTAAAAGTGGAGCAAACCAATTCAATCAATCACTTAAAAGTTCACATAAACAATTACTCGACATGCCAGAGAAGATTAGTAGGAATCAAACTTGGGTTTGAATGTTGCCAAAAAAAACTTCTAGATTTGTTTTTCGAGCTACGATTCAATACTGCTAAGACAATTAAAGATCTAATTCAAAGATTAGACTAACTCCATTCGAAGAGACCTAAAGTACTCTACTCATACAATCCCATTCGGTCCAAAGTTATAGGTCATCTACTACAAAAAAAAGCAATGACCCAAATATCTCTCTCAACAAACAAGCACTAGAGACCCCCAAAAATCCACTTGCTAGCCGCACTTGCTAGTCTTCCTCAAATTAGAAGATGCAAGTTTATGCAAATTATTAGATGAGTGTATCTTAGGTTTGCAATGGCCAAATTGAGAGATCTTGTACTATACCTTAGTGTTCTTTGTTTGCTTGCTTCTTAATATGCTCTTCCACCTTCTTTAAAACGTCATCATCAACTTGATTCTAGTACCATCCATTTCAAAGTTTGGCCACATCGGGAATATAGAACTGGGTAGAAGTCCACAGGCAGGCCACACTACGTGCGTTCGGCGAGCTTGGTAGCAAGCTTCTCCGAAGACACCGCCGAACGTGCCACAGCCGAGGAGCATAGAGACTTCGTGGTCGGGCACCATGTCGATCGAGTCGCAACCATGTCGACGGAGGCCGCGATTTGCTCGACGGAGTCCCGGCCTCAAGTCGCCGGAAGCACGCTCATCCGAGTCCGCGAACACGAGCCTCCCTCGAAGCGCGACCATGGTGACGGCATGGCGGCGCGATGGCGGCGCGCCTCGCTTCTCCTCCCGCCTCTGCGTCCCCATTCACCGCCATCCAAAAAACGCGCCAAAGGCGAACTCGACTTTTTGAGTTGAGCGTGGAGGAAGATGAGTTTTCGGCCACATTATATTGGCGGCGGCTAGCCCTTCCATTCAGCCCCTCTCCTCCTCCGGCCGTGCGTCTCTCTCTCTCTCTCTCCACCACCCCCGGTGCTTGACTTTTTGCGCCGGCCATTCGCGCTTCGGCATGCGGCGAAGTTCCTCGGTGTCCATGTGCAGGCGTCATGCTGCCAGAATCCATCGACGGCGTCCATGTTGCCCACGATATATGCCTGCCAAAGCAGCGGGACTGCTAAATCGGGTAAAAGTGGAAAACGACGAACGAGCTTAAAAGTTCACATAAACAATTACTCGACATGCAGAGCCTTTGCCAAAAAAAACTACTGTGGCACGACTCTGAAGTTAGACTAACTCCAACGAAGAGACCCAGATACAACACCCATTCGGAGTTATATGTCATCTACAGTAAAAAAACGACGGACCCAAATATCTCCTCTCCAACGGAGACTCCCAAATCCACCGGCGCGCCCCTCTGTTTGGCGCAAGCGCCTCTCGGGCGGTGCAGCCTGGCGCCCCCCCTCCCACCGGCCAGCCCAGTCGACGGCGGCGGCGCGCCCACCACTCTCCTCCCGCCTCTGCGTCCCCCATCCAGTGTGGCGAAGATTTTAGCGCTCTCTCCTCGACGACGCTTTTTCTCTCTCTCCACCACCCCCATTTTGCTTCGTCCGCGGTGTCCGACGCAAAATGGGTTCCTTGAATGGGTCTTCTGTTGGCGGCGTGATTTTGATAGGCAAAAATATTGTGCGTGACTTATTTTGCGTTTGCGGCTCCTCATTGGAGACAGTCCTAGCAAATTAATTTCTTAACTGCCCCCACTACGGCACTAAAAATGAAACATTTACTGCCAACCCCCTCACCTCCACTTTATTCCCCGTCCTCTGTTTTTAAACCGCCCTTCCCTCCCCGTCTCACCACGGCTGTGCCCCCAAACGCGCAGTTGTGCAGGGAACGCTGCCACGCCCCCACCACCACACGCCGCGCCTGCGAACAGGGACGACCATGGCTGTGGCGGCTATGGCCACGGCATTGCTCATGCTCGCGCTGGCAACGGTGTCGGCGTTGGCGACGGTAAGCGGCGCGCCCCGGAGGAGCATGAGCCCGAGGCCGGAGTCCGACCTGGTGACCGGGCTGCCCGGGCAGCCGGCCGTCGCGTTCAGCCATTACGCCGGCTACGTCGACGTCGCCTCGGGCGGCGGCGGCAAGGCGCTCTTCTACTGGTTCTTCGAGGCGGAGCGGGAGCCGGACAAGAAGCCGCTCTTGCTCTGGCTCAACGGAGGTACGAACTGTTTCTGAGCCACTCGGGTTGTTTCATTCTCGTAGCTCTGTAGGTCCCGTGACTGCTGTCCATTTCTGATTTTTTCGAATCTGCTTCTCATCTTCCAGACCATTATATAGCGGCATTCCGAACGAATGCTTCTTTGTTTGCGGATTTGCCTACATTTCGTTGCATGCTCTTTTGCCTCCAGTTTGCAACGTTTATAAAAGGATAAATAGCCCTTGCCGAATATGGCGGTAGATGGGACGAATCCTAGTGAAAATCGTAGACGCATCGATATTGTGCTTGCATTACCTCTTTGTTCTTACCACCCACAAAAAATGCGTCGGCAAGTCGGAAAGCACAGGCCGTGGCCCGTGTGGTCACAGTGCTGCAACTGAAGAGCGATGCTTTCCGGCAGCAAAAGCTCCCCAAAGCAAAGCACCAGAATCCAGAGGAGAGGAGGGAGGATGTCTGAGGAGGCGAGAGCACGCGTTCAGATCTTTACTACAGCAGTGAGCAGAGCGAAGCCCTTCTTCCCTCCCGGCGCAGGAAAAAGACGCTGCGAAAGGGCAAAAGAAGGCTCGAGGCCGGCGTACAAGCGGGGGCAGATCCTGCGCCCTGGTCCCGGAAGAGAAAGGCCGCTCCGGCCGGCCGGCGACAGGGACAAAGCTGGAGTGGAGGGACATAGCGAGTGCGATGCAGTTTCTCGCCCTGCACAGCTGCACTGCAGTGCCGCACCGGTGACACTGCAGTGCCCTGCACAGCCGAACGGGGCCATTGTCCTTTCTCTTTCGCTTGTCCTTTACCATTCCTAGAGGCCAATGGAGCACCACCAGCACCAGCACCAAAGATAAAAGAGAGATTATGAGCAGTAATCCTAATATCCTATCCTAGATAGATTATATTATGGACATGGGCGTGAGTACCAGAGTATGTGGGCATGTGTTCGTTTGAAACCAAACTGGAGAATCCAAATATGGTCAGAGAGGAGCAAGTACTCTGTCAGACGCTTCACGCGTATCAGTATCCAGTCTGTCAGAGTTGCATGTAGTATCTTCAGACTTCACTGATTTCTTTTTTCTTAGTAAGGGCCCGTTGGTTTGAGGCAGTTTGACACCAGGGATGGTTTCGGTTAATGAAAGCTTATGTAAATTGACTAACGATTCCAGCCGTAATTCTTCCTGGCGATCGTTCCGGAGGAAGCGAACGGGCCTTAAAAGATATTTAGTGCCAGTGGAGGAAAGGTAGAAGGAATTACTTATTTAATTACATGGAAGTACGAGTCTTTGACGCTTTGACCACCAGGGAAGGGCAGAGAGGCCTTTCTGCTTGACAAATCAGCTGTCTCTCACCCTGCTCTCCACTCTGTCCTTACCTTTGCTTTTCTTTTTCCCTCTTTTCTCCAGCAAGCCCTCGGTTATTTTTTTATTGCTACTGCTACTCGATATAGACAGTACTTAGAAAGCCTACGCATACTAGTAGGAGTAGCCTGTTAACAATTCCCATAGGCCATCTGAGGACTGCAGTACTAGCGGCCAATGGAGAACGGATAAGGCTGCTGCCGAGTGGCAACTGCAAAGCACTCGATCTGAAACGTACTGTAGCAGTGCGTGTAATCGAAAATTCCTGTGCCTACTGACGACCGATTTGAAATGGATGCCATCCCTCTACGGCTCTAGTACTCGGCGATTTGAGTGTACTCCTACGTAGGAGTAGTGTAGAGGGATGGCTCCATGTCTGTGCGGACTGACGGACTGAGTGGAACTGGTGGAAAATACAAGTACTCACATGGAGCCATCCCTCTACGCGACTTTGCCATTGCATGCAGGGCCTGGGTGCTCGTCTGTGGCCTACGGAGCCGCCCAGGAGCTGGGCCCGTTCCTGGTGAGGGGCTACGGCACGAACCTCACGCGCAACGCCTACGCATGGAACAAAGGCAAGCAGCAGTTCAACCAAAGCACAGACATTATTCTTCAGCTCTGCTAGTACTTGCTCTCTGAAACTCTGAATTTTACTTTCTCCACGAACTGAAATCTGGTGACTGGTGTGGTTGCGCTTGCGCGTTGGATTGGCAATGGGCTTTCAGCCGTGAACCTGCTGTTCCTGGAAGCGCCGGTGGGCGTGGGGTTCTCGTACACGAACCGGACGTCGGACCTGCGGCGGCTGGGCGACCGCGTCACGGCGCAGGACTCGTACAGCTTCCTCCTCACCTGGCTCGACAAGTTCCCCGAGTTCAAGGGCCGCGACTTCTACATCGCCGGAGAGAGCTACGCCGGTAACAAGCCTCTTCATCATACGTGCCAAACCTCTGCTCTGTTTTCTTAAATAAAGCTGCATATATCGTGATCTGCGAATGAACGGCCGCTGCATCTGCCGTGTTACGCTTTTGTAGGGCACTACGTCCCACAGCTCGCGGAGCTCATCTACGAAGGGAACAAAGGCGCGAGCAGGGACAGGGCCATCAGCATCAAAGGCTTCATGGTAAGCATGCCTCACTCACAACATCAGTGTGTGTAACAAAGGAAGTTGAGAGACCTCTTACGCTTGCCAAGTTGCCATCATGCATGCCTGTTGCTTTGCTTGGTTCCAGGCAACCAGCTTTGACGCAGCAAAACAGGCATTAGCTAGTGTTCTAGAAAGATATAAAGCGAACAAGGAAAGGAAAAGAGAGTGAAATGAGTCGGTGCTGCGCCTTACTAGTAAAAGTAGATGGCGGACGTAAGCGTGCATCAGGATATACCCCGCCCTGCGAGCTTTACCGCTTTACTTAGTTTTTTTTGTTTTATTAAACATCCAATAACCAACACGGTAAAAGGCGCGGTTTGTGGCAAACAAACCCCTTTTACCTGGGTCGTGGCATGCAGTAACAGTTTCACGCATGCTGGATGTTGCATGCTGCTGCATTGCATCGTGCGCTGCTCTGGCCTCTGAGAAAGAAAAGCAAAAACCATTTCTGCAGCTGTCAAGTTTTTTTTTCCCCTGATTCAAAAAAGTTTTTTCCCCACTTGCATTGCAGATCGGGAACGCGGTGCTGAACGACGCGACGGACCAGCTGGGCATGGTGGAGTACGCGTGGAGCCACGCCATCATCTCGGACGAGCTCTACTCGGCGGTGCGGCGGGAGTGCGACTCCTTCAAGGAGGAGGCCGACGGCGGCCGGCCCGGCAAGGGCTGCTCCCCGGCGCTCCGCGCCTTCCTGGGCGCCTACGACGACATCGACATCTACAGCATCTACACGCCGACGTGCCTGCTGCTGAACAACGTCTCCTCCACCGGCGCCACGCGGCGGCCGGCGAGGCTCGTCGCGGCGCCGCGCCTCCTCTCCAAGCATGTACGAATTCGCACGCTGCGCTAGCTGCTCTCTCTGTCGTCGTCTGTGAATGCCGCTGGCATGCGACTGAATGACTGTTTCTGTTCCCCTCTCGTCCGCCTGGGGTAACGTACGGGACACCGGCAGGAGGAGTGGCACAGGCTGATGAAGCGTGTGCCGGCAGGATACGACCCGTGCACGGAGGCCTACGTGACCAAGTACTTCAACCGCGGGGACGTGCAGCGCGCGCTGCACGCCAACCGGACGGGCCTGCCCTACCCGTACTCGCCCTGCAGGTCAGCACTCCGCAGTTACTGCTTCTCTTCTCTCTGCATATATACTGCCAGTGCCAGCCATGGACCCTTGCAGCGCGTGTGCACGTGCACCGTACGCTCGTCGACGTGCTCGTCGTCGTCCCCAATTACTCTTCCATGTGCCACCACCGGCCCGTTCCTCCTCAGATCTGGGCAACTTGCGTGCGCATTGACTGCTCTGCGCCTCTGCGTCGCACGCCCCGGTCCCCGGCTCCCGCTGGGATGAAGCCTGAACACCGTATTTTCCTCTGCTGCGTGCGAGGCTGCAGCTGCACGGTTTCAGCGTCCACTCTGACGGAACGTAACTGCGATGGGAGATGGTTGTTTACTCGATCATTCCGTGTTTGTGCTGCAGTGAGGTCATAAGGAAATGGAACGACTCGCCGGCCACCGTGCTGCCCATCCTCAAGAAGCTCATGGGCGCCGGGCTACGCATCTGGGTCTACAGGTACTCCTCCACTTGTGAGCAATTTCCATCCAGCCTTATTTTATTATCCCTGATGATGCTGAGCTGAAACCCCGCGATGGCATGTCACGTTGCATGCAGCGGCGACACGGACGGGCGGGTGCCGGTGACGTCGACGCGGTACAGCATCAACACGATGGGGCTGCGGCCGCGGCGGCAGGGGGCGGCCGCTTCTGCTTCGGCAGGCAGTGTGGCCGCGCCGGAGTGGGGCGGGTGGCGGGCGTGGTACTACCGGCAGCAAGTGGCCGGGTGGGCGGTGGAGTACGAGGAGGGGCTGACGCTGGTGACGGTGCGCGGCGCGGGGCACCAGGTGCCGCTCTTCGCGCCGGACCGCTCGCTCGCCATGCTCTACCATTTCCTCCGGGGCCAGGCCCTGCCGGCCGCACGCTCCTCCGGCTAGCTCACCGATGATCCAAAGCTGCTGCCCAAGTGGTAGATCGCGTTCTGGTTGGCTAGCAGCAACTGGGCACGTGTAGTGTAGGTAATGCAATTGCGTTGTGTCGATGTACCACTGCAAATCTGTACCGACAAAAACGGGAAAATCAATCAATCCAATGGAGAAACTGATGCAAGGTTCCATGGAACTGTTTGTTCTTCTCCCTCGTACGTGCAACAAGCGTCACAAGACCCACCCTGTAGCCACCTCTTCCTCCTCTTGTGCCGCTGTGGGGCTTGCAGCGTATAGCTTGCCTGTTTGGCTGGTATTAAAGCCGGCTGAAACTGTTTTATTGTGAGAGAAAAATACCGTAGATTCTACATGATAAGCCGGTTGGCTGATAAGTTCAAGCGAAAGCCTTCCTGAGGACTGCAGTCACAGAAGACAACCAGACAAGCCAACAATTCAAGTAGTAGTAACATCTAAAACCCAGAATTATTTGTGGCTACAATTATCGTGTAGCGTAATCAACCCCCCCCCCAACACACACACACACACACAAAAAAAGGTCCTTCATGGGTGCTATCTGCTAAGTGGTTGGTTTAAACCCCAGAAAACGTAGTGCTTGGAATGATCGAATTTTTGAATGCCGTGAAAAGACAGTAGACGCCTTACTCCTGATGTTGGGGGATGAGGGCAAAATGTGGAAGCTACCAGGGGCAAAAGCCTCTGAACCTTTAGAGATTTTACATCTTAGCGAGTAGTCCACATTGATGTAATCGCCTTCTCAGCAACCTGCTGAGGAGGACCTTGTGCGCCTTGCGCGCACAGCTGTAAAACTGCTTCCTTCTTATTAATACATACTGACATGGTCGGATCTTTCAAAAAAAAAAAAAACTCAAATAGTAGTAGGATAAAGATAAAACATAAGCCTGAACAATCAGATAATGTGCTCTAACTGTTATAAAACATAAGCAGAAATGTATTCCCATATCTCAGTGTCCGATACCATATCTTATTAAGAGATTGCACAATACCGATGAACTGTTCAACTAACTCAAACTATTAACATCATGTAACGCTAAAAGTCATAATAACAGAGCTAGAAATACCAGACAACATGCAGTGATAATTAGATATTCAAAATTCCGTGGAATACAGAAACGACACACTAACAATGCATAATGTTGCAAGGCTGTGGGTTTTTATTTTATCCTTTAAACAGGACTGACTGATTTCAGATGAACTAGTCTTTAACAATGCATCTATCACCACAGATGGGGGCTTATACCAGATAGCATTCGTTAGCAGCCTCAGATCAATCAAAATACCAAAACAATAGTGTAGCTAGTGGATAATCCTAGCAGCCACAAAATTAAGTTATTCACCTCATGTAAGAATTAACCCTTAAATCCAATAAAACAGCTACTGGAACACAAAAAGAGTTGCATCTTGTGACTGTCCATCACGCTGAGGATGGCTCCACCGAGGTTCGGCAAATCACTGGCAACAGGATCAGACACAAGAAAGACAGGGCAGAGCTCATGACCTTATTTTTTTAGCTTTGTTGATTCTTTATAAAAATGAAAAATTGATGATTCTAGAAAGAATGTATTTCTTAACAGTTATCACACAGAAGAATTACTAGGCATCAATCACCCTTATTTTCTTATACTGGCGTCGTCATGCATTCTTGAGATACTTGTTTTGTGCATTACAGTCCTTGAAAAAGGAAGGTTTACTTGGAAAATGCAGCAGATCTGCTCCAGATATGACGCAACAATAATAACCAAAGCTTCCCTACTACGTCAAGCATGTCAGACAAGCTAAAATACAATAGAAAAACATGAACAGTTGTTAGCATTTTTCTCCAATTCACAAAGTTCAGTGAAAACTTTTAGCCTATTATTATATGGCTTTATGCAGTGAATTCATGCTGTTTTTGAGCTTCAGGTCTCTCTAAAGGTATGGAAATATGTGATACAACAAAATTTTCAATATGAAATTTTCCCCTATAGATTGAGCCATTTTAGAGATCACTCACCTATTAGCAAAATACCCTTACATAGCTTTATTGCACATTTACACGCATCACTGTTGGAAAAGCAAAGCTTCTCAGTTGCCTATGTTAGCCAGGTGGGTGCGAATACAAGAATTTCAAATATGAGGCGCAGAAGCCTTCTGCTTATTATGCTAGTACAACATCACCACCATTATTATCTAGACCTTGCAAGGGCAGCTGCTGCTGTTGCCTCAATCTCATTTCGAAGTCCTCCAAATATTCTCTGCTGTTGATCTCTGTCAACCTGTAAAAGCACAAGCCAAAACAGAAGGCACCAGTAAAATACGGGCCTCAAGGGTTGATTGTGATTTGTGATTCCACATGGCAGGCAGAGCACTAATCTGAAATCTACGTACATCAGCATGCACACATTTCCAGTTACCTGCTAATCGTTCGATCCTTGGCAAATCCAAGCTCATTGTCCACACATAAGTCAGGGTCGTCGCTTTTCTGTGAGCGCGAATATCTTGGTGAAACCTTCTGTGCTTCAGCAACAGTCACGATATTCTCAAACAGTCCTACTGGTCCAGCCTCGGCTGTACATAACAGCCTTGCTTTGTTCTCGTACATAACCTAAAAAATCATTCAATATTTCAAGATAACAAAAATGTAGGGTGTAGTATGCAAAATCTATTGGTGGAGAGTTTTAGAATTCAGATTGAAGGAAAAAACATTTCTGTTTACATTCAAGTATCCAATTTTTAAGTACGAGGGACTACTGCATGTAGTCAGATCTAATCTATGATAGAACCTCCTTAAGGCAACCACACTAAATGTTGAATTTTAAGGTGTCTTGAGTTCAAAAACACAACAAATGGTTGTCTGCACATAGTGAGGCTGAGACAAACTTAAACATAATAAAGTGAGAGAAAACAAGGACCATACATCAATCAGTGTGACGAACCGATAAGCTGCTGTTCTGTTACTAGACCCAAACTTTGGAACACCGTCAAGTGCCAGGGTGTGAAATTTTTCTGTAAGTCAACAATTGGTTATCAGTTAACAGGTTATGTCAAGTCCAAAATAATCAGGCAGCAATATACTTACTAAAGAGTCCAAAGTAATCTGCTGCACCTAAAGGTCTATCACAAAGATCTTCAAAAGGAAAATATGCACAACCATTTGCTCCCAGGGATACCTGCAAAGTCATGGTTAAGTAATAAAAAATAATGTGTTTTAGTGAGCTGTTTTTGAATACTTCTACCGTACCTGTAGTTTCCTTCCCATAATTACTTCAACAGTTTGTGGGCTGGGTTCCTCATCTCCAATTAAAGACTGGAGCTTCTGTTTCAGAAGCGTACTGTAATGTTTTCCGACAAAATAGAAACCTTGTTCAGCCTGCTCAGACATCAGTTCAAAGATGTCAGAGAAGGAAAGGGGGAAGAAACCAAGGACTACTAGCTTGCAGAAGTTGGTAACATACAGAACCCAGTTGACGATAGTCCACTGCAGATCCAATGGGGTGCACGATGCACCTTTCCTGAAATGGTCCACAAAAGTAAAAACCAACATACTTGCTTAATTGACCATGCAGAGAAATTGATAAATGTAAAACAACTCGTACTTTCAAGGTGTCAATAAATGGCAAGAAAAGGTCCCGTTGTAAGCCACCTTCATAAAGCTTATCTGGAGCACGGTTAGAAGTCGAAAAAAGAATCTGAGCACAAAACATGCAAATAAATCCATGTCAAAAGTTGATGCATTGTATATGTAACCTGAGTATTTTAGTCCCATAAGAAAATGGAAGAAAATAGTAGCCACATACAACGCCTTTGCTGAACAATTGTCTGAACAGCCGGTTCAGAATCATAGCATCAGCAACATCAGTTACCTGTGCAGTATAGTTGGGCTTGTTACTTACAAACATATATATAAGGACATTGGCGGAATATTTAACCTCAGAAAAGTATTATACCATAAACTCATCAAGACATAATATGATGGCCTCATCTGAAATCTCAGCTGCTACAACATCAAGAGGATCTGAAACACCTTTATGCATCTGGATACAAACAAGTGTCATGACAACAATTATCATATCTTCCTGAAGCTTGGAACAGGGTACTTCTGAAGGCAGTTTGCACATATAAACATTACCTGAAGACGACTATGTACATTCAACATGAAATCGTGAAAGTGAATACGTTTTTTTCTCCAATTAGATGGCCTGCCAAGACAAAATAATATCAGTTATCTGAAGTGAAGAATGCACGCAAGTACCAACATTTTGTCTAAATATTATTGTACAGCCATGAGATGTGTATGAAACTCTGCTATTTCAACATTATTTGGAACAAAATTACCTTTCTGAATGTATAAAATGACAAGAAAGATATGCCAGCATTTCATTCTTTCCATCTAGTTTTTCCATCAACAAGAGAAATATGACAGGATTTCTGTTGGTCACAGGCACTACAGGTTCCAACTAAAAATTGGAGAACTGCGAAGACATCATGCAAAAATTTTGGTTATTTGCTTATCTTTCATCTAAGCCATTTATCCTGGGAGTCCATACATTCGCATAGCCCAACATCGCATAAATTTTGTGATATGTCCTACAGACAGTGCTGGATGTAATCAGGGAAGATTTGTAAACTGCTGATCAATCCCAAAATTGGAAAGCGTCACAAATTTCCACTAATGATTCAGTCATTACCTTAATGGCTAAGATTTATTGTACTATAATCAAATTGAATGATTTCAAGCCAATTTCTTAGCCTAGTTTTGCTCTTAGATTCTGAAAAAGCTTTTAACCAACAGGCTGCAGAAGGTTATTCCTGGTACAGGTCATGGTAATCAATCTAGCTTCATTGACCAAGACCAATTCATATTTCAAGAAATATAGGCAAGGGAATTTCCTAATTAAGAAGTGTACTTAATTCTGCAATGAGCAAGGATCAATGGTTTCATCGCCACGTGAAGTGCCTAAGAATGCAACTCACAGTGAACTATTTCTGATTTC